GGGACAGGCGCTCTCTTGATCTTACACTGGGCCTCACAGCTTCATGCTCCCTCTGCTGCTATACTTTCTCTTTCACGATTTTGATCCCAGACACAGGGAATCCCAGGACGGCACATTGGTGTCTGGTTTGTCCACAGCTACACCCTCTGCACAGTATATAGTCTTCTATGGAGACACAACTCCAATAATGTCTGTGGAATGGAGGATGCTGGGAGAGGTCTCGCGGATCTCCTAGTTCTAATGGGGACTGAGAACAACCATGTTGCCGAAGATGGGATGGTGCTGTATGCTTTTCCTGGGAACATTGCCTTGCATCCATGAGACAGACACAAGAGCACCTCCCTCCTACCTCTGACTGGATCTGTGCTTCATGGTGGCACAGCACTCCCAAGCCAGCAGGTTTCCTGAATAGCACTGCTGTGATTTGGATATGGAGAGTTGTTTCCAAAGGCCCATGTGTTGGAAGACTTGTTCTCCAGCCTGTGTTGCTGTTATGGGTAGTGGCAAAACCTTTAAGGGGTGGGGTATAATAGAAAGAAGGCAGATTATTGGGGGCATGGCTGTAGGAAGATACTGAGGCCCAAGCCTCTTCCTGTCTCTATTACTATTTCCTAGTCACACTGGGGAGCAGACTGCTTTGCCTTGGACCCCTCACTATAGTGTGCTGCAGGTCCAAAGACAACAGGACCAAGCAGCCATGTACTAAAACCTCAGAAACCATGAACTGAAACAATCTTTTTTCTTATTAAGTTGGTCATCTCAAGTATTTTTGTCATAGTATCAGTTATTTGTCACGGTACTGTGTCCCTATATCTTTAGGCTTTGATTTTTTTCTTCCTGTACAATGGTCCCAGGAGGCTGACTCTATCCTTCCCTGGCCTTGTGGCCTTTCCTGGTCATAGAGAATTTGCCTGTGTTTCTGATTTTCCAGCTCTTCTGACACATGATGCCATGTGAATGTGCCTCTGTTGGGCTGACAGTAATTTTTGACAGTTGGAAATTGACTGGTCATCTCCTTTAAAACTGGCCAAAACTATCTCAGGGACTTACATGGTTGGTATGGCCCATCAGCATTCAGTTCTCATCTTGGTCCCTGCCCTGCTCCCACAGCTGGCTTCCAGAATGGAGTGCTGAGACACTAACCCTGAGCATCAAAAAGCACAAGTAGTCTGTATATGCAAACTCAGTACATTATTAACTGAAGCTAATATAATGCCTAGGGGAAGAATTCCCCTGGGAAGAGGTACCTGCCCTAAATTCCAATGCTAAGTGAGTAAGTCAACACTCCTGATCTTCACTGAATGGCACTACCCAGGCACTCTTAAACCACTGGGACCTGCCCCAAGGTCATAGGAAGTCTCTGAAGTAAAGAAAGGGTTATAGAATAAATAAAGGAAGAATCCCAGAGGCAAAATGTAGAAGAAGAGACATGGGTCATCTTAAGTTAGATAAACTAGCTAGAAACAGGCCAGGCATTCATAAGTAAGAATAAGTCTCCATGTATTTATTTGGGATCTGGTTGGCAGCACCCTCCACACACAAAGAGAAAAAAAACCAAAAACTAGTGGATACATTGTGTCTGATTTGTTGCTCAGTGTAAGCTGATGGCTTCCTTTGGGCCAGAGACCTTGGAAGCTCCGGACCAACTCCAGATGATAGCTGCCAGAAGGCAGGGTTCTCTTGGAAGTCACAAGATAAAAGGCCCAGATTTAGTACAATAGTTGATAGCCCAAGGGTAAAAGGCAAGTTAGGGAGCCCCCACTCTGCAACCAAGTATGACTGTCCTCAGAAATAAGATGTCTGAGGAATGGACGTTCAAGGTCCCATACAGACAGGTAGTAAGAATTAAGAATAATATTCCTTTAGAAAGAAGGCTTCATAAACCAGCTGGAATTTGTTGAGTATCTTAGAAAAATATATTTTATGAACACATTAGAGAAGTCTTAGACTCTGAGACCTGGGGGTGGGGGTGGAGCACAGCTGAGGCAAACAAGACAGAACAGATAGACACCAGTGATCCAAACTGGCCTCCAGGCCTGGGATGGACTCCAAGCAAGTTGAACATGGCCCAGGGATAGTATCTTAGTCCCTTTCTGCTGCTGTAACAAAATACTTGAGACTGGATAAAGGAGGGATGGAGGGAGATATATATATATATATATATATATATATATAGAGAGAGAGAGAGAGAGAGAGAGACAGAGACAGAGACAGAGACAGAGACAGAGACAGAGACAGAGACAGAGACAGAGAAAGACAGACAGAGATTCCATGGTTTTGGAAGCTGGGCAGTTCATGGTGTTGGTGAGGACTTCATGCTGCTTCCGTTCCTGAAGGACAGCATGAAAACAAGCATGGGTGAGGATGGGATGCAGCGTGAGCGGCCATCCTCCATCCTCCATCCTGCATCCTCCATCCTGCATCCTCCATCCTGCTTTGCACCAACCAGCTCCATTATAACCATCCAGTTCAGTGAGAGCAAGAACTCACTGGCATGATAAAATCAACAGTCCACTCACAGGGCTGCAGTCCACAGTGAAACTACCATGCACACTGTCTCACTAAGGACCAAGCACCCACTCAAGTTTTGCTGGAGACAGACCGTATTCCAGCCACTGTGGGTGGGTGGGATACCTGGGGACAGCCCACACCATTGCTGAGGTCTGGAGCTCGGCAGTGCCTACAGATGGGGTGCCAGGGATATCGTGAGAGGAGAGCTATAGAGGTGGGGACTAGGTGGGCCTGGCAAAGGCTTTATATCCGCCCATAGTCTCCAGAGAAGAAGGCCTCCATGGTCCATCTTGCTTATAAAAGTACAGAAAATGTCAGCTTCTCGAGGAATTGGAAGGCCAAGGGCCTGGGCAGGCCCATGGGAACCATTGCATGGAGTGAGGGTTTACCAAACTCTGCTGTTGTCCTGATGCTCCAGCTCTATACTCTGTTCATTCACAGAAGTCCCACCCTCAGAACCTGTAGTTTGTAGCTGAGAGAGAGAGAGAGAGAGAGAGCTTCTATCCCTGGACTTCAGAGTATGCCCAGGGGCCCATGTTTGACTATATTTACCACACACAATGGTGAAAGAGGCACTGCAGACCCCAGCTTATGGATCTGTGGAAGTTCTCTAGAAGAATGACAGGAGAGAGGGCCACTATTTAGCCTCCATGCAGCCTCAGCAACAACAAAAGCAATGGGTTTGGATGAGGGGTGGACTTCTCAAGTGACCTCATTTCTACAGCACCTCTGCTGTCTGTCACCCCAGGACCATATCTTAGACCCTGACTTCTATTTAGAACACAGTCAAAGCAGACATGGTTTATTTTCACAGAATCAGAAAACCAAACCAAAGCAAACCCAAACAAGACAAAAACAAAAACGTGGGCAGTTCCCACTGGAGTCTCCCATTAGAAGGAGGGGAAATAGCTGTCATTTTTATCCTTTCTGGAGTCCATGGGCAGAGAGTGATGGCCATAGGACAGGGTCTGAGGCCACCCAGGAGGCTGAAAATGAGGAGTGGGATCAGGGAAAGCCTGGGATGGCCCTCTGACAGCTGGAGAGGATGAAATGGTGTCATGGATACCTGTAACTCCCACAAGATGGCTATTCTGTTGAATCCTATGGGTTCTGGCAACATGGGACTTTCCCCTGGTGGCAGCATCCCCTCCAAGTGGGATTCAAGGCTAGGCCCCTTGCAGTAGGTAGAACTCAGGACCTCTCCAAGCACCTTGGTAATGGAAACCCACCAACAGATTGCCCTATAATGTCCTCAAAATGCCCCTTTTCAATTAAATTTCTTTTTCTAACTCAAGTGCCCTCCTCTTAAGTTTCTCTATTTTTCTTGACTGGCACAGGCATATTAAATTATTATATAATTCTCAATGATTTTTTTCTAAACACAACCAAAGTCTCACACGTTATGTCAAGGCTCTGAAGAATCAGCCCAGGGCAGGGAGGGCATGTGGGAATAATCTGGAGCCTGCTCCAGCTCTGCTTCAACTCCGTGGCTCTCCCCCCCACCCCAGCTCCCAATACATGCCAGCTACAAAGTGGGTGATAAGGCTGTAGCATCTATCTCCAAGGCTTTGGGGAAGTTGACAAAATTCATAATAGAGAGTTCTAGAAACAAAAGAGACAGCCATTGGGTTTGTTTGCCATTAGCCAAGGACTTTCCACAGACTTTATGCAAGTGTGGTGCTGTCTAGATAGATAGTCCCTCTAGATTGGTTTTTATGAAAGTAGAGAAGAATGTTAAAACCCCTCTGAAGAGCACTCAGGGGACTGAAGCCTGGGGTCCTAAAGAAGGCTGTGGGATCCTTTCATAGAGTCAGGTCATGCTGGGATATGTCGTCCCTGTCACCACCTCCTGGAATTCATTCTACTTCGGCAGCTCTACCTGGAGCAATCTGTGACCAGCATGCCTCTACAATGCACAGCCAAGTCCAAGGCCCCTGTGCATCTGAGCCCTCCTGGGCGCCATCACTCCACAATGGACTCCATCAATGGATCCCTTTCCTTCCCAGCACTTGGAATGTCTCTCCCATGGGAGACAACACAGATGATAGTCCAGACGCCAAAGAATAATAGAAACAAAGACCAAGTATCCCACCAAGTCTGACACAGCACACTGGGTTTCTATCCTGTGGAAATTGTTTTCGTACAAAGACAAGGGCCTTCAGACTTCAGACGACAGGTAGCTTCCTGGCTCTATGTATAGCACTATCGGTCAGTTCCTGTCCTCCTCCCCAGCATCCTTACCTCCACAGCTGCAGGATCCTCTTGTCCCCTCATGGCAGGACCTAGACAATCTACAGACAGGTGTGCTAGGACTGGCTCAACTTCCCAGCTGCTTCTTCCTTGGAACTTATTTCCAATGAGCAAACATAAACACAACAGGGACTGCACTCCACAATGCTCTGCCGCATTGTGGCTTCCTACTACCCCCTGCGCCCCCTGCGCCCACCCTTACACCCCACAGCACCAGGAACACAGGTCTCCCATATTGCTTCGTTCTCATGTGTGTTTATTGAGCGCCCACAGAGCCCGTGGTACTGTACTCAGGAATCAGAGCCACAGTCTAGTCAAAACGAGACCAGAGCTAGTACACAGAATGTTTCATAGCTGCGTAACATCTGTTAAGGGATCGGGATGGGGAAAACTAATCACGAAACAAATTCCTATTCAAAAGCAACAGAACCTCCTCTGAGAGTAATATAGATTCTAGGCACACACCCCCACACTCACATGCACACACGCGCGCACACACACCCCTCAGAATGAACACCCAAGTGTGCCCACTTAGTTGTATATGCATGCATATACAGATGTTTGTGGGCAGGTAAATTAATGTATATGCTGTATGCACGCACACTCACTTACACACCCACACGCACTCACACTCACACACACCACTGCACAGACAGAAAATCTGGCTTATGCTATCAAAGACACTATGTCTCCAGGTTCTAGTGGAAGTAGTCTGTCCTAGATGTCTGCAGCATGCAAAACTTGGAAGATCCATGGAGTCAGTTTAGGGGACAATGGGGGCACATGGGTTTGCTTCCATCCTCGGAGCCCCCACCACAGCACAACAGGCAACAACAAAGCCTCTGTGAGAGGCTCCAGGGGCGGAGTGGAGGAGCTGGAGGCTCGCTGTCATGGTGGGGTCCAGGAGAGCCCCGGCAAGTTCACCAATCTTCAAGGCAGAGTGGAAAGCTCTGGTTGTCCAGTGTGGTCCTCCTAACGGTATTCCTTGGGGCAGCGTGGCAGACGGAAGTGAGTGCCTCTCCTTGTTGCTCTCTGCAGCTTCCCACATGTGCTAACGCATCTTGTAGTCGTTAGATACAGATGTTTCACACAGCTGTCCCTTAAAATCCAAGTCTACTGTGAAATCGAGGTCTCGCTGTGAAGGAAGAGCAAGGGGCCACAGTATGAGTCTGGGTGGCAGATCACAGCCCTTCCCAGCATAGGAATTCTCCTGGAGCCACAGGGACAGGCAGCCATGGCATTCCTGGCTGAGGAGTCTCCATGGACAGTCAACAGGAATCCATTCTGGTTCCCCCATTATCCTCACAAGGAGGGCTGTGACATCTAACCTAAGCCTTCCTGCCGGCACACGAAAGCAGTCCCGGGATTTCTTTGGTCCAGGTGGGTGCTGGGTCTGACTGGACATCACCCTCAACCTCCCTGCAGACTTTCAGTGTCTGTGCAGATGGATAAAGGGACACTTCAGCAAGGTCCCACCAGGCTAGCTGGAGAAATGCCCAACAAACACTCCCTCTATACCAGACACTTGCATTTACTGGCTCAGCTCACCCTAAATGAAGCAGAGACCATTTATGCAACATCCATTCTCAAAGGTTCTCTTGTGGGCTTCTGGGAGCTGTCCTCAAGGTTGAGTTCAGAGTCCAGAAAGCCTCTAGCCACTGGGGTTTGAAAGACTCAACATTGAGGTTGTCCAATTAGGCCTGGTCACATGCAAACACAGCTGATGTCTGTCTCCCCCAGAAGCGTTTCCATTTGGACACAAGACATTAGAGCAAGTGACTTGTGGGAGCCCCCTGGGAGTCAGCTGCTTCATGTGACCCTCCTCCTCAGTGGTCCTGCTGTGCAGGGCTCCCTCAAACTCACCACGTTTTTGGCATTTGGCTTCATGGATATGGTCCCGTAGATTTCCTCCCCTCTCCGGACAGTGAGGTAGTCTTCCAAGTAGAAGACGGTCTGCTTCCAGTGGGTGTAGGGGGCATCGGGGGCTGGGGAGGAACATGAAAAGGGGAAGAAGAAAGAGTCAGACATGAAAAAGAGTCAGCAACAAGAGGCCCAGGACCCACAGAAGTCCTGAGCTCCTCAGGGTGAAGGGCTCTAGCAGGCCCAAGCCTGGAAAACACAGGCTGAGCGTGACAACCGTGGCTCTAGCAGACCCCCCCCCCGCTGTCTTGCTAACCCTTAGATCACATTCCTGAAGCAGCAGCTAAGCTCCATTCCCTTATTTGGCCACTTTCTCCTCCTGAGGCTGACTACCAAGGTCCACCTATCAAAGTACAGAAGCCCAGCAATTAGAAGTCCCCTTTGGCTCACCTAATTAACATGCACAATTAAAATTAAACAGCTCATCCTAATACTGGGTGCCCCCTTTCCCTTTGTCACCTGCCATTCGCCTATGTGCCACATCTGTCTCCTCTGTATCCAGAGGTCGGCCTTTATCTCTCTGCCACATCTGTCTCCTCTGTATCCAGAGGCCGACCTTTTTCTCTCTGCCACATCTGTCTCCTTTATATCCAGAGGCCGGCCTTTATCTCTCTGGGACAAATACCTCTGCCCCCTTTCCTGTCCCTTCCACTTCGCCTTGTCCTTGATCTCCTGTCTTTGTCTCTTTTTCCCTGCTCTTTGTTCCTCTGAGGCAAAGAAATCTCCCTTGCTCTGGGAACTTGGCCTTGGGGTTTCTTGAATCACCACCTGGTGATCAGGAGTGGGATCATGAATTTCCACATAGAACAACAAAAGCTTTAAAGGAATTTTAGAAACAAAAGAACGGAGAAAAGTATGGGTTCTTGGTGGCAGCATTTTCTCAGGTGGGCTCTGTTTTGCTATCGACAAGCAGAGACTCACACGGCTTGCTTAAGGGAGTCTTCCTGACTTAGCATAAGCAAAAAAACAAAACAATAAAAAAACCCAGCAAAGTATTGCGTTTATATTAATCTTTTAAAACATAATGCATAATTAAATACAGATTATAGATAGTTACTTATAATAGTCAGAACTTATAGTTAGGTAAGTTAGGTTTTCTAAATATATAGAGATGTATTTGAGATATATAGATAGTCTTCAAACCTTTCGAAGACCTTCAGAAAATGGCATTTTAAATGGTTTAGGGTTTTTCTTAACAATGAGAAATGTCTGCTCCTGGCATCACCAATTACGTCTGAGAGGAAGATAGGCATCGAAGAAACTCGTTATGGAGTTTGCTTTCAACATGGCAAGATTAGCCATTTGGGCAAGAAACTGCCTTTGCCTAGACTGCTGGACTGTTGCTGTATAAACTGGATATGGAGGACCCACAGGAAAGTGACTGCTGAACTCAAATAGTCCTTCAGGGTTCCTGCTTCATGGAAGAGTCTACGAGACTTTCTACAGGACACAGAAAAATGACTGACAGACTGCTGATGCGGATGTACAGTTTGAAATTTCCTGCTTCAGAGTAAACACCTCCCCCTTCTTGTTCCAGACACACTGTGGCCTATGGGCTGAAGATGAATGCCCCAACATTACAGAGGAACTTCAGGTGACTGTCCAGGCAGCAAGATATCTCTGTCAATCCTAGTGTTTATGTATTATCCTTCTGTGGTCTTTGATGGAGTTGAAGACAGATAGTTATAATTACAGTTTTCCTTAGTTATGATAAAAGATAAGCTACATATAGAACTTTGGACTCACAAGGATGGTATGGATGATATTTTCTTTAAATCTTGCTGAATATTGATAGACAAAATATTGTAACTGTGTTCTTACTTGATAACTGTTCTGTTATATATAATTTGACTATGTTAAAGTTAAGACCTTTCTTTTTGTTTAGACAGAAAAGAGGAGATGATGGGGAAGTCCTGTGTATATGTCAATAAAGGACTGTTGGCCAATAGGGAAGCAAGATAGGTGGGACTAGGAGTCCAGGAGGCCTCTGGGAAGGAGAAACACAAGGAGCCACGATGTAGCCCGCCAGAGAAGTAAGATGTCCGGAACTTTTCTCCGGTAAGAGAAAAGTTAGATTAACAATTATGGGGTAAATACTTAAGTCAAAGCTAGCCAGTAAAAAACAAGCAAGGCCAACAGCTTCATAATTAATACAGCGCCTTGTGTGTTATTTGGGGGACTACAACACGGCAGAGCCCAGGTGACTGGTGGGGAAAAACCAAAGCGGCAGACAAGAAAAAGGCTTCTCTCTACAACCATACACCACCACTCAAGGGGTCAGGTGTCTAGTTCAAGTCCCAGAACTCCTACTCCGGCCCAATGCCCTTCAACCCATCCTGGTAATATTAGTGAGGGGTCAGAAGAGAGGCAGCCTCCTACCAGGGAGCCTCTGGTAGCTGAAAGCCCCTCAGCAACTAATTCCATTAGCATGCATGTGCCCCCTCCCTACGCTCCTGTGCTAGTACAGTAGTGACTCAGAGTGCGAGAGACCATCCTATCTCCATCATCTTAGATCTATGACATCGTTTATGCAAACTCAGAAGCTCAACCTATCTCCCAGCCTTACCATTACCCCTCCTTACTTCTCCATCCCTCAAACAGCTTCCCTTGCCTAGGAGTTTGCCCTGTTGCTGTACCCAGCACCCTGGCCCTGTTCTGCTGGTAAATTCCATCTGTGCCTTCCCAACAGGACAAGAAAGAAGGGGATTCTTGCTTCATGGGTCATCCCATCCTGCATAGTTCAAGGCCATCGTGATGCTTGCACCTCCCCAGTATTTGTCACTGGATCCCAGGTAGTCTCCAGCTAACTGGGAGGGGCCTGTGTCTCGGAATGCAGTCCTTTTCTTCAGTAGTGACTGCCTCTGGAGCACTCTCCCCCATCCACTACGTCCTCATCTTCAAGGCCAGCCTTCCTGGACCACTCTAACCTGGGCATCCAGAATTGGTGTCGTGACAATGTCCAGCATGCTTCAGAGTAAACGCCTCCGCCTCACTTGTTTACATCCTCGGCAGGCTCCTAGAGAGTGGGGCGAGGCCAGCCTTGCTTTAATGATGCTCAGCTCTCACCAAAGTCAATGTAGAAGCACCGAGTCAAGTGGACACTGAGAAGTGGGCAGTGTCAAGAGCCCAAAGCACAGCATCTTGTGATGCGTGGTATGCCCAAAGCTGCTCAGCTGAAACCTATGACTACAGAAGACTCGCTGTAGGCTGAGCTCCTCTGGGCTTTGACTCTTGTCTTCCCCCAGTGAACTTTCCTTCTTACCTAAAACCAATGCTAACAGCAACAAGACTTGGGAAGGACATAAGGACCCTTCAAACACATCGAAGACTGCTTACATGGGAGATTCTGCCTTATAAGTGGCTCAGGGAATTACTAGGAGTCAATTGTGCACCTGCAGGAGAAATTGGAGCTGGGGGACTGAGTTGTTTGTTCCTCCTAGAGGTGTTGAGGACACCACTCACAGTAAGCTCAGTTGCCATGCGCCAAGTCATACAGTATGACCTCAAATATCTTTCAAAACCCCAAGATCTATTTTAACGACAGCCAAGTGGCCTCCCCCACCCCTCGTTTGCAGTGAGCTGGCTTGATCAAATGTCAGTGGTCAGGTAGAGACTAGGACAGCCTTCAGTGTGTGTGTGCATTTGGAAATCAATGAAAATCAAGGCCACAGGAGAAAGACAGCCTGGGCATCTGGAGGGGGAAGGAGGGCTGAGGTAGCACAGCCTGGGCCTTGTGGACCATGAAGCCTCAAGCCCACCTAGCGCTACCCCAGCCTACAAAGCATGCTGCTGTCTACAGACCACCTGCTCTCAGCAGCTTCCTGCCAATTACCTCTAAATAAACCGTCAAAAGACAAGTTCTGGCTGCGTATGCAGAATGCGATGCCGGAGCGTGACTGACAGCATGCTCGCCCCCATCTCCACCTCCGCCCACTCAGACAGGTGTCTCTCCCGTTCCTAAAGACCTTCAGCTACGGGGATTCAAGCTGCCTCCTCTGTCATCCAATCAGAGACGGCGAAGGTTGAGCTTCCCTGGTTTAGCTCTGCTGGCCCCGGGAGGCCAGATGGTCTTCTTTGCCACAGGTTTGTACTGTGACCCTGGAAGTCCTGGGCCACCACATGGACTACATACAGGTCATGCTATTTATCCCCTGAAGTATTGTAAGGCGGGATGGCTCATAGAGGGTGACAACACATCCCTCTGTGCCTGGGGACACAGTTCATGTCTGTTCACCAAGCACAGTCATCACTAGCTCACCCTTTTGCTTGCCAAAGCATCCTTAATTGAAAGCTGAATCACATGGACACCCCACTTACAACCTATTAGTTAGAACAAAACCACACTAGGGGACTGCTAAGCTGTGGCAGCTGGTACTGATTCATTACATGAGCTGGTGCGTAACTACCCATCCCTAAACTGAGGGGTACCTGCAAGGATACACTGCCTCACTCGGGCGCGTTACTGAGTTGTATCTGGAGTGCTGCAGTGCACAGGGTGGCACTCGTGCTATTCCATGCATTCAGAGCCACGAATGATGTCTACAGCCCTCTTTATCAGTGACTACGTTTTCCTTCCTCCCCAGTCGCAACCCACCGCCCAGGATAGCACAGCTTTCAGTCATTAGACAATAAACACCTCTTGGAGATATTCTGGACCTACAAGTCCACCCAGGCTCCCCGTTTCTAGATTACTGATGATTTTCAGTCTACATTTAGGCTGAGTGTAACCACTACTGTCTGCTTAGGGTGCCTGTTGTGTGCCAGGCGTGGCTCTGAATTTGTCCAGCAATGCCCAAGATGAGCACGGCTCTGCATCCCCACCCTCATCCCTCCTGTTGATCCTACACCCTCAGAAGACCACCAGCAAGCAGTGGATAGTGCAAGCAGCCTGTGGGGGCTGTGATCTTGGGTGAGGGAGTGGAAACACAGGGAGCCATGAGAGCCATTGGGAGTGGCCTCATGTGAAATTATCCTCCTGTGCTTTGAGGAAGAGAATTCAGCTTCCTGTTTTACTTCCTAGTAGTTAAATAGTATTTCTTTGTAAGTTTTCTAGCTATGTACTTAG